TTTGCATCTGATGGATGAACAACTTCTCCATCTACTTGTGTATGTTCCGCATGTCATCTCATTGATGCAGCTGTCCTTTCAGATTGATAAAGCCGTTTTAACCTATCAGTTATAGGGAGATACTACATACGTTGGTACGGTATCCTTTTACGCCCACCAGTTTGAGGCTTGTATCTTGGTTTATGGCAAAATTGACATTCCTCCAGCTGATCATCGTCTTTCCAAAAAATCATACAATTGTCAACACATACATCTATCATCTCAGAAGGTATACCAAGACTAAAACAACTTCTGAATTTCGTAGTATGTTCCCGCTGCCAAGTTATCCTCCGGTAGATACTCCTTCAGAAGATCAGCCCAATCATCCATGCAAACCTCAGCCAGGTTATGATCTGTTTTAATCGACATCATCCTAGCTGCCAACGATAATTTGGACAAGCCTTCTCTACATCCTTCGTAGATTGGCTGATTAGCATTGTCTAACAAATCATAAAATCGTTTGGCATCTACATTAGGTTCCTCAACAGCATTACTCGTATGCGTTTCATGAAATGCATCAATCACCATTTCATGCATCCTATCATGATCTACACTTTGGTCATATTGATACTGATTAGGCTGATGACCATAATTCGATTCATCAATATCAACATGACTTTGATAGTTACTACTACTACCAGCATTCCCATGAGTATTACTGCCATATCCTTCTCCATGTAGATACCAAACAAAATATTGCGGCATAAACCCTCTATTTAATAAATGCGTCCACACGGTTTTGGTTAGTGTATACCTCGTATTCTTGCATTTCAAACAAGGACAAAACATCTTCCCACTATCTTTCGTTCTCTCCATATTTGTAGTCTGATACATAAATATTTCTAACCCGTTCTTGAACTCTTCTGTCGACGCCCCATCTGAATCTTTACGCATATACATCCAACTTCTTAGCTCGTATATAGACATCTTGAAAATAAACTCAAAATACTATCTCTTTTTATTGATTAGACAATAAAGGAGGTGGTCTCTTGTGTCACGTCTAGCCACGTGAATGAAGTAAATTAACCTTATAATATTATTACTTCTTTGATTCAAAGTAATATAACTCTTAATTCAGGTTTTCAGCAATGGACAACCCAATATATAAGGATTTACAACACTATACTAAAATTTAGGAGACCTACAATGGGTCTCCAAGATGAAGATGCTCTTATGTTTGAATGATGATGTGTTGTGATTGAATGAAGGAATGAAGATCTATTTATAGGAAAATTTCGGGCTTTACAACGCTTTTACGACGACTTTTTACGACGGTTTTACATTCAACAATAATATTACAATGAGTTTACGACGATTTTGAGATAAAATTTTTCATCTACAATTGTTAGGTAAACATGTTTTAAATGTTTTTCACCTAACTCCTTTTTCGACGTACAATCGTCGTAATATGTACATCGAAATGTAGTCGTCGTATATTCGTCGTAATTTACATTTACTAGTAAATCTCTCGTGATCGATGTATAATCGTCGTAATTCGTCGTAAATTGTACGTCGAGTTTACGACGATTTTTATATACGACGGTTTTACGACGGTTTTTAAATTAGACGTAAAATCGTCGTAAAATCGTTGTAAATTTGCGACGATTTATAAACCGTCGTAATGGACCGTTGGAAAACGATTGTTTTCTTGTAGTGTCTTCAAAGCCTGGAACAGAACTTGCGTCTCTGGCTCAAAAACCAATTCATGAGAAGAAAGCATATGTCTATGCAGAGGTTGTGAAGAAACTAAATTCTTCAAGAGAACGAGGCTTGCCATTCATGGTATGGTCTTCCTGTACCTCTTTGATTGCATTTTAAACGACGTCCTGTTTGATAATTGCAACTGAAGATTATGCATTTCCTTTATTGCTTTCAGAAGTCCAGCTGGATTGCTTAAGAATTATGTACATGCTACACCTTATGATGATGACTGCTTTTAGTGCAGCGTTAATTTACCCTCGTTGACTATCTACTGATTTGTTTGGCTTCTTCCCTACTAATTTCCCATTCATGCATTTTATAGCCTGCAATATCGTTCAAGGGTGCTTATGAAAGTCTAGGAATTGATTTGACTCATGGAAAATCAGTCAACATGCAGAAACTATGGCAACTTATTCAGGTGATCTTTTAATTGGAACTCTCATTTTATAACAAAAGGTACCTTTAAGGACTGTTCTTACATTTTCAAGGCCTTTAACAATCTGTAAAAATAGGCCATGACGGGTGAAGATTCAGCAGTACAACAGGGTGTTTCCAAGAGGATGTCCCTCGTGATAGGTGCAAGGCGCCACTTGGAATGTGGGCATGAGAAACATATAATGGATACAATTCAAAGTCATCCTACACAAGTACTTGTTTCTGTCTTGTATTTATTTTCCGTGTGCATGCTAACGCATGTAACATTTTTTTTGATGACGCATGTCACATTTTTCTTCATGCATTTATTTAAATAATAACTTCAAGAATGTCAACTGAAAAGGTGCCCTGATCTTTCAGTCTGAGTTCAACTGCGTTAATACTCATAACATCCCGTTTTTCTAATCTTGTTCTAGGCTGCTCTTGGTGGATCTGTTGGAAATTTGCAAAGAATTCGTGCTTTTCTTCGGGTTAGTGCGATAGAATAGAGCTTAACACAAAGCATATATACACAGTAATTTTTTTTTACTGGCAATCATATACATTGAGTTGTTTGCTTCCTTGATTCTGTTTTTGAATACTGTGCAGATTCGTCTAAGGGATAATGGGATTTTAAATTTTGATTCAGGTGATGCGTGTCGGCAACCTCCTTTTGATACTACTTGGCAGCAGGTTTCGCATAATTTTTCCTCATGCTTAGAATTCTCACCATTATCCTGGACAATTAAGTTGAACTACAAAATATTTTCGTTGCTGTTCCACACAAAAGATTGATCAAATATATTTCTATAATCACAGATATATTTTTGCTTGAGAAGTGGTTATTATGAGGAGGCTAGAAAAATTGTCCAATCATCTCGGTCATCTCAACAACAGTTTGCTCCTCTGGTATATTTGCAGGTCTTAGTTACCTACGTTCAAATTCCGGAGTCATGGTTTGATTTGCTTTTTTTTTTGGCAGCTTACATAATGGATTACCGCAGGTGGTATTGTGGCTGCAAATAACGCCGCTATTGCTTCTGAAGAATGTGAGAAATTGCTTAGGTTGGGTGATCGGTTGGGCCAAACAACATATGACAAGAAGAAGCTCCTACTCTACACTATCATATCTGGTTCCCGAAGGCAAATTGATCGCATCTTGAGGGATTTTTCGACGCTTTTTAACACAATAGAAGATTTTCTCTGGTTCAAGTTATCTTGCATACGTGACGTTGCTAGTGGATCTTCATCTGTGGTCTTCAATGATGGGCTAGTTCCTTACAGTTTATATGATCTTCAGGCTTATCTTAATAAGTTTGAGCCTTCTTATTACACTAAGAATGGCAAAGACCCTCTAGTATACCCTTATGTTCTGCTTCTTAGCATTCAGTTACTACCAGCGATCATGCACATGTCCACAGAAGCAGGCGATGAAGGTTTCAACATTGATGCTGTCCATATGGCTATTTCTCTAGTGGACCATTCTGTTCTATCTGAAGGATCTGGGACTGGGCACAAACTAAGCGTGATGGATGCTAATGCCGAGGCATCTAGCATGATTAGGCAATATGGGTCGATGTATTTGCATCATGGTGATCTGCAGATGACGCTGGAATACTATGCACAAGCTGCTATTGCGGTAGGTGGGGGACAACTAGCTTGGTCCGGAAGAAGTAATGTGGATCAACAAAGGCAAAGGAACTTGATGTTGAAGCAACTACTGACTGAGATTTTATTACGAGAAGGAGGTATAAACTTTATGCTTGGTGGTAGAGGTTCTGGTGAAGAAGGCGAGCTTTGGAAGATTTCTTCCTGATTCAAAATTGAGGCAGCAGTTCTTGATCGAAGCTGCGCATCAATGTCAAGAAGCTGGGTTATACGACAAAGTAAGTAGCTTTCTGATCATAACTGAAACATGCTTGGTAAACTATCGATTGGTTTTTTGTTCAAATGAAGTGATTTTACATACCAATCATTTATTTCTTTCACCATGTTTCAATCTCTTACTGTTTACTGTCCAATGCAGTGTATAGAAATACAGAAGAGAGTTGGTGCCTATTCGGCTGCCTTGGAAACAATAAACAAGTGTCTATCTGAAGCCATCTGCTCCCTTATCCGTGGAAGGTCAGATGGCGAAAGCCGAACAGCGGGACTCATTCTCTCAGCAAACGATATTCTTGAGTCCTACAAATACTACTCTGAAGTCGGGTAAATTTCAGACTCTAACAAACGCATTTATTTACTTGTCTTAATTTTTTTTTTAATAGTTGAATAAGGAGTTTCTCACTACAAGTGTCACGCTCTTGTATGCACCAGTATCCAGGAAAGAGATCGGGTCATGAAACAAGAAACAATACTTCGAGAGCTTGAGTCAATATTGTCGATCCACAAGTTGGCCAGACTAGGCAATCATCTAGACGCCTTGAGAGAAGTGGTGAAGCTCCCGTTCCTTCATCTCGATCCGAGACTATCTGACACAAACCCGGACGAGTTCCAGAGAGCATCCTCTTACTTCCAGACTTGTGTCCCTGATTTACTGAAGGTTGTTCTGACTTGTCTGGACAACGTACCCGACACTGATGGATCGATCCGGGCCATGAGATCTAAGGTACATCATTAACTGTTAATGCATACATATATGGTGATCATGAGAGATCATGATATGGTTTCTTTTGCAGATTGCCAGGTTTCTTGCAAGCAACACACACCAGAACTGGCCTCGAGACTTGTATGAGAAGGTGGCTCGAAGCTTTTGAATTTAAGAATCTCTAATTATATTTTGGATTTTAAGAAGATCTTGTAAGAAGCTGTTGAACCCAGTTTTGTTACTCAACATAAAAGCAAAATTTTTTCTTGGCTCAAAAGTATTTTATAGCAAGACCAAAATCTTAACTCAGAGATAATCACACAAAATCCAAGGATCGTATGTTAGGTTCTAAAGCATCATAATCCAAAACAATAACAAACGAAAAGCATATATCAGTTCTGACTCTTTTAAGCATCGACATGAAAAAAACGTTTGTAAGCTGATCATTTACCCATTTTGTGACTCGTATTGGTAACTAGCTTCAGTGGGTTTTAGCAGAAGCTGTCTCAAAATTCCTCATCCTGTCACAATGTGGCGTTTCGCGAACAAATCCCCATTGTTTCCTCTGCAGCTCATACCTACAATTCTGACTAAGTATAGACACATAATCTCTCTCAACTTGTTCTTCAAGTGTCTGTCGATCGTAGCTGTCTCGTGGGTAATCCTGCTCGAATTTGGACGATCTCACAAAGTAATTGACACCCTTCTGTGTGGTGAACTTGTAATGGTAAGGATAAGTTGAAGAAAGCGAGTAAACTGGTTGAGAAGAAGGTATGAAGTTGAGGAGAAGTATGAGTATCACAGGGAGAAGCTGGAGAAGTATACGAGCATTGAAACCTGCATCAGGAGCTTGATTAGTATTGGCTGTTCTATGACGAGTAGCTCCGAAATTGAATGTTCGAAACTGAGCAGTCGCAGGAGGCATTCCTCCTCCACCGAAGAAGCTTCTGAAAATCTCGTTAGGGTCGAATTCATCTTCGTAGTAGTATCCTCCATTGAACCCGTTACTCCTAGTAGATTGTCGTGGTTGATAGATTGGCTCATCGGATCCACTGACATCGTATTTCTTCCTAGCTTCCTCGTTGCTCAAGCATTGAAATGCCTTGGAGACGGATTTGAAAGCTTCCTCTGAGCCAGGAGCTGGATTCTTATCGGGATGTACCTTCAACGAGAGTTTCCTGTACGCTTTCCTCACATCGTCCACTGAACAATTGCTTTCAAGACCTAAGATCTCGTAATAATCTTTCTTCGATTTTATCTTTCTGACGACAGAGATCTGTTCTTCGGTGTATGACATTGAAGAAGACGATGAAGTCGTCGACGATCCGCGTTGGCGTAAAGAAGGCCGATCTGAAGAACTGGTCGAGTCTTTTGCGGCGGCAGATCCAGGCGATTTCCCAGACCCTGGTTCATGTGCCTGGTTATTGAGCTCAGATACGAGATCATCGATCGGGAGATCTGGATCAAGACGACGAGCTTTGGAGAGGAATTTCAAAGCTCGAGGTCGATCTCCGGCTTTGATCGCATCCTTGCAGATTTTCAGGCACTTCAACGCATCGTCTTTGTTTCCATCCATTTTTCCCTCAGGCAATCAAATCCCGAACGATGCCCTAGAAAACAACAGATTGAGAGAATCAAGAGAAGTAAAATACCGAGTGTCAAAGAAGGGAAACTCGATGATCATGAGACTGTCGAGAGGTATAGTGAGCCCCTTCGAATTTAGGGTTTCTCTTTCTCTCACCGATCGGATTTTCAGATTGGAATGTGGAAGAAATTTCAAGACGACTAATGGAGGACACTATTTGCTCTCGAGATAAAGACACAGTTCCAATGGTAAAATCTGAGATCAGCATACCAATGTCGGTACAAGGTACCCGACAAGCAACAATTTCCGGTTATCTTAAGTTTTAGCAATTTGGTCTGGTTTTCTTCCGGCTGTAATTTATTGATGCGTATAATCGAAACGGACCGGGTTCTTTAAAACCGGTTCGGTTCAATAGGATAGTGTTGCGACTGTTTTTGGTCTCAAAGAGAGAGTGAGCGAGGAGGGGATATGACTAATTCAATCTTCTGTTCTGAGCAGATTATTTGAACGCTCTGTTACTCAATAGTTGAAATTTGTTACAAATTGATTGTAGTATTTGCTTAGGCCAACTTACTGCTCAAACTAATTATAAATCCGACTTTTTTGGCAAATTAAAACTACATTCATATAAGCATATACAGATTTTGATGCTGTCCTTGGCTAGCTAATGTCAATCTTCTTCATCCTAATGCATCTTTCAGATTTATTAGCAAATTGTATGCCTTCAAAGATCATGCTTTCATACTCTGATGGTTCTTTACCATAAGACATTTTTGTTGGACAAATATGGAGACTGCAAGAGAATTATCTACTCTAGACATATAAGTCATTAGCTAATTTTTGATTTTCTCATTGGATATCTTCTTTCTTCATGGGCCTATGATTCTTAACTACAAAATGCATTGAATTAATACTTGATACCAAGTTGGACAGTTGAAGGTCTAACTAACTTCCCATTTTTAAGAAGGAGCAATATCAGTACTCAGACAGTCTTTAAAGCTGTGAGTTGTTCACTCCATATGCTCTCATCTCCTTCTCAGTCGTTTTTGTTTCCTGTAATCATGATGGCTTGAAATGATCATAATCACCCTAAGAGCCTCTTTTGCCATGACTCAGATTATATTACAAAGATAAACATTACTTTGATCCTATTCCTTTTAAAAAAAATCGATAAAATGTATGTATTCTTTCTCTTATATATATGGTCATGATATGGTTTTATATTTTTTTTAACAGAAATGTTAGAATATTGTCTATATTGTGTTTCTTGATTGTGTGAAATATTGTATGTGCTGCTTATTTACTTGAAGAAGGCCAACAAAGCAACATATCATGAACGAAAATATGAATAGAGGGGTGATATAAAAAAAAAAAATGAATAGAGGGGAGGGGTTTTTATTTCTGGCAGTGGCAGCCTTAATATCATATTATATAAATACATTCTTTTTGTGGTTAAAATATAAATACAAACTTTAAAGGGTTGTTATTATATTTTGTGTACATGATACTAGAATTTTTTCTTTTTTGGGTTTGTTAAAAGAAAGACTTGCTAATTCGGAGAAACTGAGTCAAACATGGATGGCAAGCAAATGGACAGCTATGAGGCCCCCATTAGTGATTAAATGCATTATTCTGACTATGGGCGTAAGCTTTTCTTTCATTAATAGTTTCAGTCTCACATTATACACTATTATAGATATATTTATGTGTTTTTAATTGACCAGCTTTCTGAATTCTCACTAGTTTTTCTTCTAATAATTGCTTATGACGTATGATTTTTTTTTTAAGTCTAAAGATGTCTGTTAGATCTGTTCTTTTTCATGGATTATTTAAAGGCACCAGATGTGTGATAAGTTGTTTTTCATTATTCATCCAAAAAAAAAAGTTTTTGTTTGTCAACTTGTTGTAAACCACATATATGTACAGAAAGCTAATTCGAAAAAATAGAGTTGAAGTCTTTCGAGCACGTTTTGTAGCCGTCTCATATATTATTTGTTGTAATTGTAACAAGTAGTCAATGTGCTTTATGGATTTTGCGTACGAAGAAAAAAATGCGTACATGAAGAAAAAAAATCTTGAATATTTGTTGGAACCCAATATTAATAAGCATTTGAACTTGTAATATTGAGTTTGTGTGTGAATAAGAAATGAAATTTAATAAGCAAATGGGCCTTATAAATTCATTTGAGATTTGGGTTTAGCCTATGGAAATGAAATGTTCTTATTGGCTATAACTAAAAGTGGAAGTTCAGTGGAAGTGTATTTGTCCCACATTGCTCATCAAGGAGAAAAATCTCTAGTATATATATGGCCTTCTCACGATAAGGGTCAACAGCATTATGAAAGTAAAAGGGTGTTATGCAAAAACACCTACGCGCGTTGTCGCCGCCGCCGGTGCCAGTGCCGGGCTCGTTGTGGGTCGTGGGCTTCTTAGTTCCTGCGAAATATTTTTTGCATATTGAAAGGATAAATCTTAGAAAATAAAAGATTGCGTCCAGATAATAACGGAAGATTTCCGAATCCTTTTACTTGCGGAAAAAAGGAGAATATTTCGTGAATATTCCTTTTTCGCCAAAGCTTATTCCTTGCGGATCAAACTGAACTTTCCAGTATAAATAGACGCCTTCTTCTCTCATTCTAAATCATCGAATTCTCGAATACACCAAACACACAACAAATAATTCTTTCCAGCAAATCCCTCTCGTCTTAATATCGTAAGTGTCTCGAGAGCTATAGCGTAGTATAATTTCAGTTCGCAGATTCTATTACGGGTGTTGTGCAATAGTCTCATCACGATTGTATCCTGTGATTCAAAAATCGCAAACAAACCGTCATACATTACGGGCGATTTATTGAGTTAAGGAAAGAGATCATATCTCGACTCCGTGTTTTCGTCTGTTTTCAATCGGTTTTCTAACTCTCGTTTTAATCTCTTACCTTAACATATCGTTTATAAAATTGCTATTTTCTATTCGTGATTTTAATCGGATTTTCGCGGTCTTACAATATTTGGTGAGGAAAGGTGTGTTGAAAAGTGCGTAAAGAAAATAGAGAAAAGGTTGGTAAGCGAAGACAAGGCAGCGCAGCCTCATAAAGCGAGGAAGGTGAATCCTTAAAAGTTAAAACAGAGCAAGTTGGATGGCATCTGCTATAATGCCCACGCACCATCAAAGCAAATGATCCATTTACTTTACTTCACGTATTTTTGTTTAATATTTTTTTGTGTTAACCAAGAGGTTATGAGATAATCTCACTGGATTAGAGATCGTAATATATTCAATTTCTTTTTCACATATAATTTGGTTATCTCCATTATTATCAATACTATTTCTTTTTTAATGATTTTAACTGATTGAGTTACAGATATCGGATAGCTCTTAAATTTCATAAATCAGCTATGAATTTTTTTTTAATATATGATCTTAAATCTGAAATAATAATGAAGAAATAGAAATTATTTTTAAATATACATGTAGAGACTTTGCATAAAAATGACAAAACATAGATTCATATGAAAAATAGAAACATAATTTGTAAGAAAGAGTTATCTAAGACATTAGCCAACATTAAAATGGAGAATCATCTGCAAAAGCAGAACCCTCCGAGTGCAATATATTCACAATCGGGTGAGTGATAAAAATCACTCATTTTGTTGATTTAGTGGAAACAGAAACAGAGATTTGAAAAATATTAATGTACATTTATAGAAAACTTGCTACAACAAAACCAAATACTCGGCTGGTTTTTGGGGTCGGATCTTGAATATGGATATTTATCTAATTCCGTTCTTTTGGAAACAGCATTTATTTAAGGACTAAACAAATGTCAAATACAGGCGAAACCCACGAAAATAGGACGCAGTCAAATAAAAACGATCAAGTGGGGCAGTGATACGAAAAGGTTATCCGACCCGATAGCCCGACTAAACCGGGTTTTGATACTACATAAAAATGCACTCTCACAACAAACTCGCACGTTGCCAGAGACAGAGAGAGAGAGATTTAGCATAAGTAAATTAGGAAGGAGGCTTCACTCCTCTCTCTCCTCTTCAGCTTCCTTCGCGCCGGCGAAGATTTCTCTGTGTTGAAACAGCTCTCTCTAGAGAAAGTAAACGAATAGAGAGAGAAGTAGAGAGGATTTTTGAAAAAAAAAATGTCTAATCTCCTCAAGGATTTCGAGGTCGACCCCAAAAATCCATCGCTCGAGGCTCGCCAGCGATGGAGATCCTCCGTCACTATCGTCAAAAATCGGGCTCGTCGTTTCCGTATGATCAGCAATCTCGACGCCCTCGCTGAGAATGAGAAGAAGAGATGCCAGATCCAGGTCTGTTATTTTTATCTCCTCTCTCCGATTTCCTGGGTTTTAATCTGTTCTCGTGATGCATACGACGTAGATGGAGTGTGTAATTTGAGTGTCTGATTTTTTTATTTTAATCTGGATTCGTGGAGAATATTTGGTTTCCGGGAAAATGCCTGGAAAGTCCTATTGTGGTTTAATGTTTTCAGTAGCATTTACTCATTTCGACTACAGTTTCTGGTGTTTCCTTCTTCGCATAACAGATCACGAAGAAATGAACTAATAATAAAAGTTCTACGATCCTTGAGTTTAGGAATTGTTTCCATTATTGCTATTGTTTACTACTTTCTTTTTTTGCAGAGTCTAATCGTCTTTTGTAGATCTTTCTTCACCATTCTAGTTTTTTTTTTTTTCCAATTTTTTTTTCCCGATTCGCAACGAAAGATCCAAAATAATCGGTTATCATTTTTTCTCATCTGATATTGCCAAAAAATGGGATATAAATTATTATATTTATTTCATTTCGAACCCCTATACTTTTATCCTTCTTTATTTTCAGTCAACGAAACACAACTTGACGCGTATGTTAGGATTCACTGAGTCTTTTAAATTGTTTAGGAAGGAATATAGAATATTCCGCAAGGGAAGGGGTAAATATTAATCAAACGTGTAACGGATGAGTGAGTATTTATAATACGGCTCTTTATTCGCTCCAAAATGACATACATTTGAGGTCATCATCGTTGCACGTTTAATTTTTTGAATCAATTAATTTTTTCAAATTAATTAAGAGTTTCATTTGAGTTTTATTTTGAATCAATTAATTTTGAATCAATTAATTTTTTCCTGGCGTCTCATCGTTGCACGTTTTATTTTGCACTTTCTGGACGTTAAAACTGGTTGT